ATTGTGAGAAAGGGAGAAAAGTACCTCTTTCTTTACCTGCTCTTTCCCATGCATAATCTTATAAACCTCGATCATGTCACCCCTCAGTCGTCTTTTCTCCAAGCTAAAGAGCCCTAAGCGCTTTAACCTTTCCTCATAGGGAAAGTGTTCCAACCCTTTTATCATTCGAGTTGCCCTTTTCTGCACTTTTTCCAAAGCTATAATATCCTTTTTAAGGTGTGGTGACCAGAATTGCACACAGTATTCCAAATGAGGTCTCACCATTGATTTATATAGGGGCATTATTATATTGGCTGATCTGTTTTCAATACCCTTCCTAATAATCCCCAGCATAACATTGGCTTTTTTTATTGCAGTCACACACTGTCTCGACATTTTCAGTGAGTTATCCACTACAACTCCAAGATCTCTCTCTTGATCAGTCTCTGCCAGTTCAGACCCCATCAATGTGTATTTATATTTAGGATTTTTGGCTCCAATGTGCATCACCTTGCACTTGGCCACATTGAACCCCATTTGCCATGTTGACGCCCACTCGCCCATCTTTGGAGTGCCTCACAATCCTCCCTGGTTCTCACCACCCTGAACAACTTTGTATCATCTGCAAATTTAGCCACTTCACTGCTTACTCCCAACTCCAAATCATTAATGAACAAGTTAAAAAGCATTGGACCGAGTACTGATCCCTGCGGTACCCCACTGCTTACCACCCTCCACTGAGAAAATTGCCCATTTATAGACAGGCGTAGAAGTGTGCAGACACACTACATCGAGTCATCCCATTACTTCCGAAGATTTTCCCCGACACAGCCTTGTGCAGAAAACATCAGGGAAGAAACAAAGCCCTCTCCTGTTCCAAATACTAAAATTGCATGAATAGGAAAGGATAAATTCAGGTGGGTAGCCATGTTGGTCTGAAGGAAGAGAACAGAGTTTGAGTCCAGGGGCACCTGTAAGACCAACGAAGTTTAATTCTGGGTATCATCTTTCATGTGTGTGCATCTTATCTGACACAGGACCAATTAGGGACACTTTAACAGGATCAGCTAGATTCGAGACCAGTAGCATCTAAGAGACCAACAAGATTTTTCGGAGTATGACCTTTTCAGAGTCAAAGCTCTCTTTGTCAGAAACAAGTAGGAATGGGGATCCCTGAGCTCTTATATCCCAGTCTGAAGGTGCAAAGAAGGGAGTCAGGATGCAAAGGTACAATGCAGTGATGACTTCCTGTTCCAAATCCTGCTAAGATGCAACTAGTAATGAAGCTCAAGACAATGCATCCTCCTGGACTTAATCAAGACCTAGGTTTCCTGTCTCATAAACCAATGCTGATTTCTCCACAACTACTACCCCACTGCATATCACACCTAATCCAATCATGCCTGCTACTGTCATTCACCTGCTATTGTCATTTGCCTGCTAATGCCATTTGGCACCTGAAAACACTCCACTTTCCAATATATAGGATAGGTGGATTCACATTCGTGAGCAGTGACTCACGGAAGCTCCTATCCTGCCACATTTTTTTTAGTCCTTAAGGTGCAACTGGACTCTTGCTCTTTTCTACTGCTGCAGACAGAACATCGCTACCCATCTTGATCTATCTCAAAGGAATTTCAAAGGGAGATTAGAAAGAGAGCTGCATTACAACTGATAACAAAGCTCAAGACAATGCATCCTCCTGGACTGAATCGAGACCTAGGTTCCCTGTCTTGTTACTAATGCTGATTTCTCCACGCGTGCTATCCCTCTGCACATCACACCTCATCCAATCATGCCTGCTGTTGTCATCTGCCTGATATTGTCATTCAGCCTCTGAAATCACTCCACTCTCCAAGACTTAAGGACAGATGGGCTCACATTCTAGCTGTATCTGAAGAAGTGGAGCAGTGACTCACGAAAGCTCCTACAACTGCCACAAATGCTCTTAGTCTTTTAAGGTGCTCCTGGACTCTGGCTCTTTCCTACTGTTCCAAACCCTGAAACTGCATAGATTGGAAAGGACAGGCGAGAGAGTCTTTAACCCTCAGTCAGGGTCTAATGCATTGCACCTCTGCATCCCGACTCCTTTCTTTGCAACAGCCCTCACGCCGTCAGGCTGGAGTATAAGGACTCAGGGATCCCCACTTCTGCTTGTGTCTGACGAAGGGAGCTTGGACACTCGGAAGCTCGTGGTGGTGGAAAGTGCCATCAATGTCTGGTGACCCTGCAGGGTTTCTAAGAGCCAGTTTGGTGTAGCCGTTAAGTGTGCGGACTCTAATCTGGGAAAACCGGGTTTGATTCCCCACTCCTCCACTTGCACCTGCTGATGTGACCTTGGGTCAGTTGCAAGCTCTGGCACAGCTGTCCTTGAAAAAGAGCAGTTTGTATCAGAGGTCTCTCAGAGGGTGTCTGTTGTAGGGAGGGGAAGGGAAAGGAGTTTGTAAGGCCCCCTGAGATTCCAAGTGAAGGACGGGGTATAAACCCAATCTCTTCTCCCTCTCCATTCTCTTCTTCTAAGGC